ATCATGTATTCAGCTGTTTAGCCAGGCTCATTTGTGATTTGGCATGAATGGGATCAGGGCTTTTTAGTTTGGGTTTGGATTCCACAACAAGTTAAATAACTGTGACACTGCTTTATGAAGGCATTTGTTGTTATTTTACTGACTTCGTATAATTCAAACTTTGAGTAGCAGACACAAAATTTCCGCATTCGAATAGCCTAAAGTGGGAATTTAAGGCGAAGGTTGTTTCAACTTGAAATTGTCTTACCTTCTTTTCGCAACTCGGTCATATTGGTAGGAAGACTTAGAGCAACGCAACTAGTCCTGAGTCCATTGTCTGCATCATTGTGTGCCAACCCACAAACGTTGTGGTTCAACATTAAACCTAATCAAAGCCAGCAAAACCACAACATTTGTGGTTTGGCACATAAGAGACTAGGGCATGGCAATTCATAGACTTGATATTAGGGATAGAGACAGGATAGACGAGGCTGCAATTGGAGCTGGTTGGCTGACAGTAGGTTTTACAAGAAACGTGGTTCATGTAGCAAAGGCATGACCATGAGACTTACTCTGAGGCTTTAGCCTCTAAGCAATCACCAAGGTACAGGGGATGGACGAATTATGCCTCGGGTAGCACAGATGAGAGGAGCAGGGTCGAGTGAAATAAATGTACCAGAGAGATAGCAGACGTATTCTACGCGGCAAGAGGGAGACTCTGATAGGACCCAGGGAAGGACTACGTAACATAACAGACTCTGATCAACATTCCTAGCACAAGGGTCAAAGGGGTGATAATGACAGTGTGGAGTGTGAAGGGTTTTCATGAATGTCGCTCGAAGGAGCACACCACACTGCATTAAATAAGCACGGTAAAAATTATGACAGGGAAGGCATGATAGGACGATATAGGAAATGTGAATAGCCCAGGGCAGAATGGTAGGTACCAGAACTATTTGGCACAAGTTTTGTCAAAGGATGGGCTTCACTTGTCTCTGACGAGTTGTAATATGGTGCTACGAATGGCGAGACTCACTGACGATGCCGGCTAAACGTATGGGAATGTAGTACGTTCACGGTCCGACTTTGCAAATGATTATGCATACAATGGACTCCGGACAAGGTGCGTTCCTCTAAGTCTTCC